ATCGTGCTAAAGCCACCTCCGACCACCAAAAAAGATTAAAAAAAATTCATTCGCTTAAAATTTGATTTTAAACATCCTCATGACCAAATCGGAGCAAAATGACCGGCGGATGAGCCGAAAACCGCGGGTAAAGCCCAGCGGCACCGCTACAGGAAAAAAATCAGAAACCGCCTCCAATAAGCCCATTTCCGATTCCTATTTTGTGTGATTTTTCTACCATTACAATCACTATTATGTTTTCTATAAGTTGACCAAAGAAAAACACCCAACCGCAAAGGTGAGTTGGCAGAGCCGCCGCACTAAAAATTTCTACCGCCGGTGAGTTTTTATTTTTCGACTTTTTTCGACCAATTGAGATCCCTTAACGTGTTTTCTCGCAGTGATGAGTATAAAACCGGCTGAAATCAGCTAAAACTGGCAAAAAACGGCCACTCTGAGGCAAACTACCACCTTAGGTGGCGGTGTCGTCGCCGGAGCACGGCACCGCCGCAGTCCCGAAATTCCTAAATTGGCCGAAAAAAAATTTTAACATCGTTTTGGATTTTTTGAAGTATTTTTAGGTACTTGAAGCGTGTTTTAATATCTGAATAAAAATTTAGAAAATCCGGGAACTGCCAGTAGGTGTAGCTGAAAATTTACTGTTTCAAACACCAATTCGGATAAGAATCTCTCACTTTATTTCCTGTTATAGAATTAAAGTTTAATTATAAATAATACGGTATTTTGCATAATTTAGAAAACTTCGATAATTAATTATAGGTTACTAATAGAGGCGGAACTGTTATTTATTACTGTTTGTCATGTTTTAACTGATTGATTGATTTTATACTTTTAAATGCATAATAATACACTGAAGTTGGTAAGTTAATTCAGTTGTGTTTCTTTTATGCATGTATTGCTTGTTTTACGTGAGTTACAGTTAAATTGTGAAACTGAAAATTAAATGTAAACGGAAAATTACTTGATTAAGTGAATGAATAAATGGTAGCCTTACTGGATATTCTGAGAGTTGATGGACAGACCGAGTACGTAGAAAACCATACCGGACAGAGTATCGAGAATTGGTATTTTGACGCTCATACCAGACAGAGTATGAGAATGACCGGTTAGTTGACAATGTTGAATAAGAGTTCATGCGTAGTAGGGACATCTCTATGAACCCTAATAGATACCAGTAGATAGATAAAAAGTGAAAGTTGTTGCTCTGACAAATTGAAAATGAGATCATGATGTTGTTTATGTTATTATTTCTATAGGTCGATTTTGAAAATCTCGATACGGTAAGTATGTAACAAATGATTTTATTTATGATAAATAAATTTACTTAAATTAAGAGTTTCATTAGTTGTTTTTATAATTTTTACAAACCTTCATTTATGTATCGTTGAGTAGTGTGACATTCTTACTGGGTTAGTGTAGCTCACTCTTTCATTAGCAATTTTAGATCAAGAGAACCAAAATCCAGATCTCGATCCACAAGAGAATTTCGAATAGGATGTACAATTGTTTACTTTCTATTTATTTTTTTTAATTTTTCATTTATTCTTTTAGAATGATCATTTTAATAATTCTATTGGGTATTCTCAGTTACTGTGTAAGTAATGTAAACTCTAATTTTATTATTTCGCTTTCGTATTCAATTTATAATTTATTTAATTTTAATGTTCTGGACCGTTACATCTTAACCCGAAATGGATGGAGAGAAAAAATGTTTCATTTTTTAGAATCTTCCTAAAAGCATATTCAATATAAACGAAAGACGAAGTCTACATAGCTCAAAAGATTTAGAGTACGTAGCTACGAACCATGGTGTTAGGGGTTCAAATCCCTTATCACCCACAACCGACCCAAAAGAGAAGGAACTTTTTCCTTGGAGAGGTAGAAAAATCATGATCGGGATAGCGAACTCAAAGCTATGAAATTGAAAAATCAACCAAAATCTAAATTTTCATGAGAACCATGTTCATATTCTCCAAATTTATTTTTAAAAAAAAAGTTCAAAAAAAAAATAAATACATCTTCTGGTGGCGATTCGTTCTTGAAAATACAAGGCTAAAAAAAGATTAAGAAAAAAAAAAATAAAAAAAAAAATCTACCATTGGAAAGATCTCCCAATTAATAAGGTTTTTTCACAAAACCAAAAGAAAAAAGGTGAAAATAAAATTGCTAACGAGGACCCTAAGAACATAAAATTACAGACGGAGACTGGTTTTAACTTTTAATTAACACTTAAACATCCTTTCTTCCCTCTCGCAACTCGACACAGTTAAAAAACCATTTAACCATGATTCAGTAAATTACTATCACTGACATGATCGAGTTGACTCACTGTGTGTTACTCACTCGCCGCCAGTTGCCAAGCCGAGGTGGCGATAAGCGGCCGGGTGTGCCACCCAAGCATGAGGCACCCATTGTTCTCCTCCACCCGATATCCATCACCACCAGCGAATAGAGCCAGCAGCATACTCGCCTGCTTGAACGCATTGGACCCGAGATGAACCGGGTCAAACCCGGCTGATTCCATCCTGGTACGCCACTGTGTCAGAGTTTCATGCCGCTCAACTCGGTCGGCTCCCTCGCATGCCACCACGTTACATATCTGCTTTCCCAAGTACAACTCGGACATAACAAGGTCCTGACTCGGCGTTCCCAACCCGGAACCCTCCAGTGAGTCGAACAAACTCGAGTAGTAATGTAAAGCTTCGTTGAACCGGTCTAGGAAAACCGGACCGTTGTGGTTCGCTTCCTGTTCGACGACGGTGATAATTTTAGGTTTCATAGCCTTGATTGACGTAAGCACCTTGTCGATTCCACCGGGTCGGGCCAAGAGTCTGTGAAGCTCGAAAACGGAATTCACCGCCACAGCTTCAATTTCCGCGGGTCGAATCCCTAGCATTTCTGGTTCGAGATCTGCTAAGCTATTCGCCACGAATCCTTGGAATTCAAAATCGACGCCAATGGTTTCCGCCAACTGCGCGAGCTTCCATCCAACTTGCTGTAACGCATCGGTGTTGCTCGGCTGCGGCGGACCAATTCCGGTTAGTCTGAACGCGGGTGGGCCGCCGGGTCGTAATGCAAGTGCTTGCATTAACGCCGGCCATTGCATCCCTTGTTTCAGACCGAAATCGATGATGTGAACTCTGTTTGCTGAAGCGAAAGCTTCGAGAATCGCCTGGTTCGCTGTGAAATGCGCAAATTTCAGGTAAGGGCAGGTTTCGTAGAAGTGCATCTGGAGAATATCGGAGTAGGATGAGTCGAGAGTTCCATCTTGAGGGTAGACTCTGTAGATTCTCCGAGCTAATGCTTCGGCGAAATACGTCGCGACCTTCTTCATCGCTCCAGCTTGCGACGCTGCAAGTAATCCTATGTGCTTAACCAACGCATCCGCCAGCTTCATGTTCTCTTGTTGAACTGCTTCTGCGCAGGCCACGAGCGTGTGGACGAGTCTCACCCCTGTTTCCTGCGAGTCGATGAGAACTACCGGCCGAGCGGAGTCAGGGATGGCGGTCGAGATTCCGATTGTAGATGACGAGGAAGATGAAGTCAACAAACCTGCAGAAGGAGAAGGAGAAGGAGAAGAACCAGAAGCGGACCCCAGAGTGGTCTTTATTCGTTTTCTGGAATTCTCTGTTTCAGAATCATCTCGCGAGGGGTACGCAGCGACTCCTGGAATCGCCCTGAGATCATACTCGGAATCGTCATGGTAAATTTGAGAGTGAGTATCGATCCTTTCGGATTTCTTTGCTTGCGAATTGTTGGAGTAATGGATGGAATTGACCGAGTTGGAATCAAGTGAAGTAAGACCGACAGAGTCCTGAATTGACTGATTCTGAAGAACCATGGTGGGGTCAAGATTGCCGGAGGGAGAATTATTGAACTCGGAAAGCATGCTTTGAACCCAACCAGAGAGATCTGAAGGATTATAATGAACAGTGTCGCAAGCCAGATGCGAAATCCCATCTTCCTGAGCAGAACCAATGACCATCTCGAGCTGCTCCAGTTTCTGAGCAACATCCGCCATATCCGACGACCGAACCTTATAACCCAACACCGCAAGCAGCTCATCCATCCCCCCTGCATCCTGCTCCTCTTCCCACAACTTCCCTTTGCCGCCACCCGCCATTGAAGAAGTCTCTCCTTTCACCCCACCACCGGTATTACTACCGGTTTCCTTGTGCTCTCTTTTCATTTTAACAAACCCAAGCTCAGATTAACTTCATGTCAACAAATTGGCTGTCAGTGTTTCTCTATTTTCTACTGTGATGAGAAAAACAGGAGAAAAATGGAAGAAGAAGAAGAAGAAGAAGAAGAAGAAGGTGGCAAGATGGGTGAGAGGTCCAATAAAGGATCAGCAAGAGCTGTGAAGAGAAGAAGAGATAAGGAACAGCGCAGGCCATAATAATATGTGAATTTCTTTTAATTTTTTAAAAAATAAATTTTAATTACATTTTAAAAGGAATATAAAAAAATAAAAAATTGTATGAAATTTAGCTCCGGCAAGTACTTAAAGGCATCAAGGAAGCCGTAGCAGCACTCCGACGCTAAAAAAGATGCTACGCTTTGCCTGTTGTCGGGTAATGATCCAGTACAACACCACACCCCATTGATGATCATAATCAGGTGGTGGTATCTCAATCAGACGGAAGGAAGGAGAATCAAAAAGTGGGGTCCAGTTCTTTTTAGTTTTACTGCAGTTCCATTGGCGCGTGAACTACACACACAACTAAGTTAGAACTTATCCTTCTCTAAAAATTAAGAGGTTTAGACTCATCAACCGCCAAAAAGATTTTCACAACTAACAAAAAGTACCTACTT